TAGGATGGTAAAAGACACTTGCATAGAAACAAGAGGGCAGGAAGAGCTGCCCCTTAGTGGGGGGCAACGTGAGGTTTAATCCTCTTATTTTGGTGGGCAGGGGCTCATCTCTGCGAGTGGTCAGAGTGTTAGATTTTTGCCAATTTTGGACAACTATTCAAAATCAGGAAGGGACCAGAGATTCCAGGGTGGGGAGCGGAGATTCCAGGGTGAGCCCAATCTCTCTATCTTTACCCTCAGGGCTGTGCTCCACTCCCTATGGCATCTGATCTTGCTTAGGCCTTATGACTTGTGATAAGGCACTGGTGCCTAATGGTCACGACCTCTAAGTTAGGTCAATGGCCCTGTTATTTTCTTCTACCCCCACCTCCTTGTGAGTCAGGTTCTGGTCTTGGGGCGCCTCCTTTCCAGTCTTTCTATACTTGTCCTCCATCAATGGCACCTCCTTTTAGAGGTGCAGTCTTTTCATGCTTGAACCACTCCTATTAATTTGCTTTCTACATAACAACAAAAAGACCAAAACCCATAATTGTAATTTGGAAGTAATACTTAAGATAACTGGGAAATATTAAAGAATTATGAAATAAAACCAGTGAGGTTCAAAAAAAAAAAAAACAGAAGAAACAAAGAAGTTGAGTTAAAAATAGAGAAGAATAAATCATAAGAGCTAATGATAAGAATAAGTACTGGCTAACACAATGCAAAAATAATGAAGATTAAGTTGTATAAAAGAATGTTTAAAATAAAGCAAAAAATTAAAACTATGAAAGTTATGTAACATTATGGAAAGAAATAAGGAATCAAAGTTAAAATTCCAAAGTAATCAATATTGAAATAATATATAAGAAAAAATAAGGAAGACTTGGACAAAAGTGAAAAAGGAAAGAAGAGATTTGATTCTAATTATTAATAAAAAGTAAGAAATAAATTTATGGGTATTGTAGTTTTGCTCATTTTTGCTGTAAATGTTAATTGCTCTGAAAAATAAAATCTATATAATAAAATAAAAATTAAATAATCTAAAAATTAAAAAAAACTGTTTAAAAGCCCATGAACAACAAAATATATTAAAACAACACAGTGGGATATAGCTATAACTTATTTTAAATAAAGCTAATATATCCCCACTAAAAGTAAATGATTCTAATGAAAATAGATCTATGTGACATGATTCCTTATCAACTTAAGAAAAATGAAAGGTCCTTTTGAATTCTAGGGCATTTTATAATTATTCTCCTATTCCAATCAAATACAAAAAATTCAGAAAATGAAAAGGAAAACTCATTTTTTCTATGATCTGAAATTGTTGAATATCAAAGTTAAGCTAGAACTGAACAATTCTACCTTCAAATGCATAACCACTCAAGCTTGGCATGCTTTCAACACATTTCCAATTTCTTCTAAAGAAGTTGTTTATGGGGCCTCCCTGATGGCGTAGAGGTTGAGCGCTGAGTTTCGAAGCTGCCCGGGGCCTCTGCGGCACCAGTTCGATCCCTCGGCTGCTCCCCGGCCACCAGAGGAGGGTCTCACATGGCGCGCAGACCTCTCCTGCCGCCCGCTGCTCCCCTCAGCAATGTACTTCGGTCCTTCTGCCTGCTCTGCTCCCCGCTCTGGCTCTGGTGAATTCTCTCACCCTCCCGCGCTTCTGACTGTACCCAGTGCATGTATAAACAAACAAACGAATAAATAAATAAATCATGCCTCTATTAAAAAAAAAAAGTTGTTTATGTCAAGTGTTCCTCATATTCACTTAGTTTTGAATTTTTTTTTTTTTTGCTAAAACTTCTAATAATAAAAATACATCTATAGAGTGAATTAAAATTGTTACAGGGAAGAATGAGGAACACTCTGGGACCACCAAAACTGCCTGCTTTAAATGGGTTCTGCCATCTGTCCCATCAAAACAAAACATAGTCTAGTGTGTAAGACCTTCAACAGAAATTACTTTAATACAATAGTGTGCAATAGAGAAGCAATTACTGTGTCATAAAAAGAAGAGAATAGAAAGAAAATAGTTAAAATAATTGCTCCAAAAAACACACAAACTTACCTATCCCCTTTTGGGTAAATGCCCAGCCAAACAAGGTTGGCCCAAAGCAGGGCCCCTGAGGCCCAAAAGCTTGCAATAAGCCTGAGACACCTGGTCGGGAACCACAGGAAAGGCACAGAAGGGGCCAGGCAAGTCTGGAGGAAAAAGAGCCAAATCAAAATACAAGTGAAAATAAAGGCTACCATTGTCAGCCTCTCCATAGGTCTCTCACCCGTCTTTCTCCTTCAAGTGTCTCCTTCGATGCCCCCCCAAGTCCCTGGTAAAAGTCCAAGACCTGGAAGCAAGCATGGCTTCTTCACAAGTCTCTCTCTGACCCACGTTCCTTTTCTGTCTTCTTTTTTCTCCTCATCCTCAGCTTTTCCCCTCGCAGGCCTTTTCCTAGTCTTTTCTCACTTCACCTCTCTGCACATCTCTACCGCTCCTTGTGTAGGGCAGAGAACCTGGAATCTCCCCTTTCCAGGGGAAGGGATTATCCTGTTACAAAATTTCAAATTTATGCATGTATTTTTCCACTTCTTATTACTGATATACTCTCCTAACCTACTCTTCTCTGATGATGTACTCTCCTTCCCTATGGCTTTTGGGGATTTACTGTGACTTTCTTTGGATTCTAGTCCGGTAAAATATTTCCCACTGTCTGTAGTGTGATATTATGAAAATTTAGGAATTTGCTTTATTTCGGCTGATATGTACTATAAGCTGCATCCAGAAACTAAATCACAAATGAATACAAACTGGCACAACCTGTGTCCAGGTACTGGACACATGAACAGCATGAATTTTTATAACATTTAACTAGTGGTGTAGAAATCACTTTTCCAGACAATCACAGGAAGAAAAGTCAAATGTCAGAGAAGTTTCTTGAATCGACACTTTAAACATCTACCCTTCACTGTCTCTCTTGACAGTCATTGATGTTGATTTGGAGAGGTGTTGGGTTCAGAGAATGAGTTCTTGGGTTACCACTGAGAAAAATTTCACCAGCGCTCCCCTTTCAGTGGCACACATCAAGTTTGCCCACAGGGCAGAGATGTTTAGTTCTACCCCAAATGGCAGGCTTATTATAAAAAGGGAAAGGAAAGTGAAGGACATTTGTACAGACACAAGAGGGCAGAAAGATCTGCCCCTAAAAGTGGGAGGTTTAGGAAAGAGATGCCTGCATAAACACAGGTGGGCTGAATAGCGGCTTTTGGAAGGGACAGGGTTGTTCTGATATCATCCTTTGGTGGGGAGGGGGTTCATTTCTTTGTAGAGTTGCTAACTATTGTTACATTAATTACTTCCAGGGTATGGCTAGGTAGATTTGTGGTTCTCTATGATGTACATGGAAAGTAATAGACAACTTTAAATGAATGTGCTGCTTATGTAGAGTCTCAACCTGTTTATCTGGGAGCAGCTTACAAACCCTGTCCCTATGCAGACTCCCTCATGCTGAACTGTTTAAACTTTAATGAATTCTTGTTTGGTACCTGCAAGTTCATATTCTCTATTATTTCTGTTTCTCAGAGATCTCAAGAACCCAGAATCTTGTAACAGAGGTGTACAAAGATAATTCATTTATTTAGGTCTAGTCTTTTATCTCTCGTCTTTTTTTTTTTTTTTTTTTTAATTTATTATTTGTTTGTTTGGTTTATACATGCACTGGGTACAGTCAGAAGCGCGGGAGGGTGAGAGAATTCACCAGAGCCAGAGCGGGGAGCAGAGCAGGCAGAAGGACCGAAGTACACTGCTGAGGGGAGCAGCGGGCGGAAGGAGAGGTCTGCGCACCATGTGGGACCCTCCTCCGGTGGCCGGGGAGCAGCCGGGGATCGAACCGGCGCCGCAGAGGCCGCGGGCAGCTTCGCAACCCAGCGCTCAACCGCTGTGCCACCGGGGAGGCCCTATCTCTCGTCTTAATTCTGAAATTGGAAGTTCTTTCTTTCTTTTTTTTTTTTTTTTTTTTTTGAGGTTCTTTGTTTGTTTGTTTTAAGATTTATTTATTTATGAATACAAGAACTTGGGTACAGGATAGAGGTGTTGGGAGGGGTGGTGAGAGGATTCACCGGAGACAAAATGGGGAACAGAACAGGCGACTGACTGAAATACACTGCTGAGGGGAGCAGCGGGCAAGACAGGAGAGGTATGCTGTGCCATATAGGTATCTCCCTGGCCTGCTGGGGATCAAACTTGTGCCGCAGAGACTGCAGATAGATTCACAGTGATGTGCTTAACCCCTTGTGCCACCACAGAGGCCCTGGAGGTTCTTGTTTTTTACACTTAAAAGGATGGTCACAAAAAACCCAAGTTTCAGAATAAGCATTAAGAGACAGTGGAAGATAGCCCACGTGCTTAAAGGAGTAATTTGAATTTATAACATTTCCTAGACTATTTTCTACTTGGTCTAAAAACTTTCACTTTCTTGATTATCTTGTTCACCACCTACGTTTAAAATATAAGAGGTTTTAAAACTCACATATTGGATAATAAATTATATTCTAGAATTGAGAACTTATTTTAAAACTTTTGACTAAAATGATCATCTGTTAAATGTCATATTGTACGGTACCCCCCCCCCAAAATTCACACTTCCCTTATTTCCAGAGTTGGGAAAGTTTTGTCCTCTGTATTTGAAACCCAAAGCATAGAAAGAAGCAGCATTTTAGAATTTAGCTGTAGGACAAATTCATTGGCTCAACTCATAAGACCAAAGATCTAAGCAGTTGGATGACAAGGAAGTGTTTACAGGAGTTTAAAGGGCACAACTGGTTAGGAAAACTTGGCCGAACCTGAGCCTCTAGCATTTGAAATATACAGCAGGAGCTGTTTGCTTAGATGTTTGTCAGCCAGTGATTTAGTCAGATTAGATAGGGTGGGAGGAACTAAGGTTAGTTTACAAATTCCCCCAAGGGTGGAGTTTGAGCAGAAGTACCTTGAATTACTGGCACTGAGGTCTCTTCCATTAATTTACAAGGAACTGTGGAGAGCTTTTGTCTGGCATTTTCCTAAAGGAGAGTGGGAGCTGTGGACACCGTTGCAATTCTAGCAGGTAAGCAATGAAACACTAATCTATGCTCTGTACACAATATATATTCAGTGATTTTTTTTTCCCCCAAAGTTATAGTCTGCTTTATACTTGTCACTGCTTTAGAGGCAGGTTCCTTCTGCCAGTTTCTTGTTTTCTCCAAATTATAATAATAAAAATGGCATGACCCCCGAAAGACACCACCTTTAACTTTTCTGTTAAGTGAAGAGATCATTTACCAATGTTGTAAAAAAGAATTGTTGTTAATAGTACTCTGTGGTTCATCTACTGAAAGATGGTTCCATTTGACTGATTTTCAGCTTAATCCTGTCTTAAGTCATTTGTTTTCTGTTAACTCCAATTGTCTTTTGCTGCTTTGAGTCATATTTAGAGAAGTGAGAGTTTCTATTTCTCAAGCAGGATTTCTTCCCCTTTCATTTTATGAAATATTTACTTAAGAATGGACAGTTAATAAACTGTTCGTTTTTTCCCCTTTCTGCTTCTCTTTTGGAAAGCATGGGATGTTATTCAGGTTGGACTGTAAAGCAAATGGATTGATTTTAATCATGTGAAAGTCAGCATGTAATTCATTTAATCTTTTATATAAGATATGCACTTGTGACAGAATGATGCCACTCATTTCTCAAATGATACCTTTCAAAAAAGTTGATTAAAATTATTAACGTAGGGTCTCCCCTGGTGGCTCAAGAGGTTGAGCGCTGCGCTGTGAAGCTGTCCGCAGCCTCTGCAGTTCCGGTTCGATCCTGGCTGGCCGGCGAGGGTCCCACATGGCGCAGCAGACCTCTCCTGCCACCCACTGCTCCCCTCAGCAGTGTATTTCAGCCAATCAGCCTGTTCTGTTCCCCGCTCTGTCTCTGGTGAATCCTCTCACCCTCCCACACATATGGCCTGTACCCCAGTTCTTGTATAAAATAAATAAATCTTAAAAAAATTATTAATTTTTCTCCCTTATTTCTTTCCTCCTTCCCTTTTTCCATCCCTATCCCCCCACCCTCCCTCCTTCCTTCTCTCCTTCTTTCCTTCCTTTCTCTCTCTCTTTTTTCTTTTAAGATTTATTATGCATACAAGAACTGGAGTACAGGCCAGAGGTGTGCGGGGTGAGAGGATTCACCAGAGACAGAGTGGGGGAGCAGAACAGGCAGACCAATCTAAAGCACTGCTGAGGGGAGCAGCAGGCGAGACACGAGAGGTCTGCTGCGCCATGTGGGTAGCTCCCTGGCCGGGGATCGAAATTGTGCTGTCTTGGCTGTGGTCAGCTTCATAGTGCTGCATCTTAACCCCTTGTGCATCCAGGGAGGCCCCCCCTTTCTCTCTTTTTTTCTTCAATGAAAAATTTATAATTTACCGGGCCTCCCCGGTGGTGCAGCGGATTGAGCGCAACATTGTGAAGCTCCCTGCAGCCTCTGCAGTGAGGGTTTGATTCCCGGCTGGCCAGGGAGATTCCCACATGGTGCAGCAGATCTCTCCTGTTATGCCTCCTTTTCCCCTCAGCAGTATATTTTGGTCAGTCTGCCTTTTCTGTTCCCTGCTCTGTCTCTGGTGAATCCTCTCACCCGCCTGTGCCTCTGGTCTGTACCCCAGCTCTTGTATAAAAATAAATAAATCTTAAAAAAAATTTATAATTTACCAAGTTCTAAACTTTGAATTTGTGTGTCTAATTTGTCTGTTGCAGACAAGAGATCTGAAACTGTGTAAAAATTAACCATTGGGTACTCATAGTCATTTATTTAACTACCTGACCTTAGACCCAGTAGGGAATAGATCCTGATTTCCATAATTTCATAAAAGAGCCAGATTTTATGATTGTAAAGGTTTCAGCTTTAAAGTTATAACTTTAACTAAAATTGAGAAAGTGTAACTTACAAATGCTCAAAAGCTAAATTGAGAGTAAAATGGCAATTTCTATCACAAAGTACCAACATTAAAAGATATTATGATAGCATCTCTTTTTAAAGAATGTTCCTTCATTAATTAATTTCATTTGATCCTAATCATGATTTATGAAGAAAATAAAATTTAACTTAGTTTTATATAACATTGCAGTATGGTGGCATGCCTAAAATCATGTGTGTAAATGTCCATATTAATAAAATTAGGCTAAGTAAGATCATTTCAATTTATTTGCAAATGGTAAACCTAAATAAGGCATAAAATTATGGCTTGCAAAGCATTAACTATCATTGCAGGTGAAGGAAATGCAGAATTAAGCAGCAATTAGTACTTGAGTTAGTAAATTGCCTCCTGGTATTGAGGGGAATGATAACTGTATTTTTTCAGTTTGTGTCAGGGTGAGAGGAGTTGTGCTGTTCCTGAAAGATTATTCCACTAGCAGGTATCCCACTATCCATGCATTGAGGTTGTGACATTTGAGTTGTGACAGACCCAGAGGAAGAACCATTCACTTTAACCTTTGCCTGTCTGAGACTAAACCAGGAGGTTTGATTACAAAGGGTAGGATGGATTCATAGCCTGTGGTGTTTTGCAGACCAAGTAGAGAGCTGGGGGGGAAATGAAGAGTTAAAAGGGATGGGCTAAAGAAACTTTTTTTTTTAAATTCAGATTTAAAAGGCAAGGTAAAATAAAGCAAGAAGTTCTGTCCCAGGCCTAGAATTTTCCACACACATGCCATGTCAAAGACAAGCACACTTGACTCAGCTCCTCAGGCAAAGTGTAGTTCCAAGTAGTGAGAGTTCTATTATCCTCCTAATTCTGTCTTTGTTTCTACTCTGTTTATTTCAGAGTATGGTCTTAAAATGTGTGGAAATGACTCTAATCCCTCAAGATTGTTGCAAGTATTAAATTAGGGACAAATATAAAAAGGCTATTGAATGAATATGATTTTTTTTTAAATAGGGAAACTTTAATTTTGTTGGGAATATGGTGATAGCAAAGTAATCTATATTCATTTAGGTAACCTAGTTGGAGATTACCCCACTTGGAGAGTATACTCCAGTGAAATTTCAAAGTACTGACTCTTCAAAAGTAGTCCCTATTAAAGCAAACTCTTCATTTTGAGTCTCATAGTAAATGCTCCTCTAATCATTTCCCTTTTAGTTGGAATAAGAAAGGGCAACCCTCTAGTAAAATGGCATCAATTATGTCAAATAATTCATCAAGTTATTTTGTGTATATTTTTCTACTCTTTTTATGAAGTAACATTAGTTTAAACCATTATGTTTCAGGTGTACAGAATTATCAGTGAACATCTGTATATATTGTGCTTGTTATCAAAACTCAATTTTCCATTCTTAACTACACAATTGACCGACTTTATCTGATTTGCCCAGCCCCTTTCACTATCCCTTCTTGTAACCACTATTTTTCTCCTTAAGTCTAAAAGTTTATTTTTGTTCTGTTTTGTTCATTCGTTATTTTATATAGTTTTATTCAGCTGCCATGTTGGGGAAATATTCTATCTGAAAGACACCTGATTGGCAATGAGGTGACTACAAAGAGAAATTAAACAGGATTTAGACACCCAGTTAGAACACAGTTCAGTAGGGTAGGTAGACCAGTTCAGTAGGGTAGGTGTGCCATAAGTAATAGTTTTATAATTATGACATTCTTAATAGTAAGTGTAGGGGCAGGACAGGCCACAGTGCAGGTTTTCTGATCCCATGCAGACCGGGTAAAGGAGGAGTCAGAGTCCTCAGTGGTTTTGCAGGTTTTTATTGGGGTTCAGCGGGTACGTGGCAGGCAGAGGATAATAATCTCCTCCCAGCCCCCAGCAAATCCGCACTCTCTCTGGGCTCTCTGGCGTTCTCTGCTTCTGCTGGCGTCCCCGTGATGCCGCCCTTAAAAGCCCAATCTTAGCCCAGGTGAATCCCATCTACCTAGGCCCACACCCTACTCCAGGTGTCCGCCATCAGGCATGAATTCAGGACCGCAAGGATCCATCATCTATCCTGATGGCGGGAGGGCAGAAAAGCCTGACATTTTTCTTTACCCTACAGTAAGGCAAAAAAAAAAATAGCTTCTATGGTTTTTCAGAATATGCAAGTGATCTCCCAGACATTGAACATAGATGGCTTCCTAGAAAGATGTCATGACTCTCCACACTAACTTATCATGTTTTTAGTGCATGGGATAAAGAACTCAGGGACTTCAAACTATTATGGGGTGCACATTCTAAAAGGGGAGCAGTCATTCATTGCACAAAGGCAGAGGAATCAGATGCTTTATGTAAAAACTTTTTTTAAGATTTATTTATTTTTGCATACAAGAACTGGAGTATAGGCCGGAGGTGTAGGGGGTGAGAGAGTTCACCAGAGACAGAGTGGGGAAGAGAACAGGTGGATTGACTGAAATACACTGCTGAGGGGAGCAGCAAGCGAGTCAGGAGAGATCTGCTATGCCATGTAGATTGCTCCCTGGCTGGCCAGGGATTGAATTCATGCTGAAGCAGCTGTGAATAGCTTCATAGGTTGTGTCTTAACCCCTTGCGCCACCAGAGAGGCCCCTTATATAAAAAACTTTTAATGAATTGGTATGCATAAAGAGAATATATCCCCAATTATTGTTTCCTAATAAAACTCCCCAAATAACCCATCTCTCATGAGCAAAAGCTCAGGCAAACAGGTGCAGCCTGAAGCAAGGCTGCTGAGCCCCAAAGTCTTGCCACAAATCCAAAGCACCTTTGGGTGGAGAAACATAAGAATGGTGTTAAGCAGGTCTGGGACAGAAGGAAAGAGAGAAAATACAAAATTAAAGCACACACACAAAAAAATTAAGATAGTGACTGCCATTGTCTCTGCAGAAGACAGCCTGCCTACACAGCTCTGACCCATGTGTCTCTTGTAAGCATCTCATTGATGTGTCTCTGTGACTCTCTTCTACATGTCTCCTCCATGTCTCTTCTCAATAGTGCCAGGGTGCAAGTAGGATTATAGAAACAAGAGAGGCCAACCTGCCTGCCTTCTGTGATAGATATTTTGCTCAGTTCTGTGCCTAGTTCCAGTAGCTCCTCCACTCAGGAAGTCTGTTCCATAGCATACTGGAGCTTG